AAACGGAGACGTAACAACTGTTTCAGAGATAATGATTATTGTATTTAAAAGTAAACGTACAAAGTTTGTAAATATTTTCTTGTTTCCACAGCTAATGGCCAGTGTCACGAGGCTACGACTGTGTTAGAGATAATGATTACTGTATTTAAAAGTAAACGTACAAAGTTTGTAAATATTTTATTGTTTCCATAGCTAATGGCCAGTGTCACGAGGCTACGACTGTTTTAGACATAATGATTATTGTATTTAAAAGTAAACGTACAAAGTTTTTAAATATTTTATTGTTTCCACAGCTAATGGCCAATGTCACGAGGCTACGACTGTTTTAGAGATAATGATTATTGTATTTAAAAGAAAACGTACAAAGTTTGTAAATATTTTCTTGTTTCCATAGCTAATGGCCAGTGTCATGAGGCCAACGGTTTTTTTCCCAACCAACAGCAGTGTGACAGTTATTATATCTGTAGGAATGGTACTCTGACAGAAGGACTGTGTCCAGACGGCTTGGCCTTCAATGTTCGCGGTTCCTACTGTGACTCTATACGAAACGTAGACTGCAGCGACAGGCCGCAACTCCGTAAGTGATAAAAAGTTTACAGTGATGTGTTATATATTAACAAAAACGAGATGTACAAATATTATTATTTATTTATTTACAATCAAGAATATACAAAAACTTTTTATAACTTTGTTACAGTTACTTTTATCATTAGTTTGAAATGGAAAGTATAATATACAAAAATGTTTTCCTAGATTTACTTAAATGCTAGAAATATTCAACTTTTATTAACTGTATTTTTTTCGGTCAAGGTAAATGAAATTATAATACAGGCTTTCCGTCAAGTTATCTGTAAACCATCGCTAGCAGTTCTACGTTATCTGTAAACTATCTCTAGGAGTTCCGTCTTTGTTATCTGTAAACTGTCTCTTGGAGTTTCATCTTTGTTATCTGTAAACTGTCTCTTGGAGTTCCATCTTTGTTATCTGTAAACTATCTCTAAAAGTTCTCTCTCTTCTCCAAGTTAGTGAATTTACTAAATTTCACTTTGATCTCTAAAGCCAATGTTTTTTGTTGTTTGCTATTGTCCTGATTATCGATCAGAGTAGTAATAAAACAAATACATTCTATAGAACAACCCCAACCCACAGAATGGTGTCCACGTCGCTGGGGCGAGTATCCTCATGAGAGTGACTGTACGCGCTTTTTGAAGTGTGTGGATGGAAAATCTTACGAGTTCCCTTGTCCAGAAGGCCTAGCCTATAGCTACGAGAATGGATACTGTGATTGGCCTGACCTGGTTCACGGTTGTGATAGTGAAGGTAACCTAACAAATCCATTTAAAATGTCCACACTCAATACAAACTGGACTGATACATTCCTCACAGAGCACCATGGGGCTGAAAATTATAATACGTAGTAGAACCTGAAGTTTATTTTAAATATAAAATTGAATATTTCTGGTAAGAACTTAGGGAAATGTTCGAATTATAGCACAATTTACCATATAAATCCGTACAAAACAACGTAATTCACCTTAGAGAGTTGTATCAGCTTCACCTGGCGGTTGTAAACAGCATAATTCATATAGATTTGAAAGTATCTTTATGTGAAATATAGTAGTGTATTTTGTGTAGAACAATATTAATTACCACTTTTTTATGTAACGGAAAATTTGTGGTAATTCAAAAATAAATCTGGCTCACATACACTTGATCTTCGCAAAACTAAATAATTCGTGGATTAAGTATGCCGAAAGATAGGTATAGTGATAGTTTACAGGTGAAATGATACGATGTGAAGTTGAAATGAAATAAAGAAACTGACTGAATATGGTCATAATGACTGGTGCCAGTTACCACAGTTTAATGTAAAACAAAAGGTTTAAAGGATATTTAAATGTAGAAAATAAATAGGAGAAAAAAGGAAGATAAAAAGAAAATTGACTAATAGTAAAATAAAATACGATCAACAAGCATTGGTAGAAGAGAATAAATAGTTAAACAATACAGGATCAGCAGGCACTGCTTGTTGATCGTGTATTATTTAACTCTTTGTTCTGTTCTACTTTCTCTTCTAATAATTATTGTTTAACTGTCTGTTCTATTCTACTAGTGCCTGTTTATCCTGTATTGTTTAAGTGCTTGTTCTATTCTTCTAGTGCTTGCTGATTGTGTATACTTAAACTCTTTGTTCTGTTCTACTAGTGCCTGCTGATCCTGTATTGTTTAACTGTTTGTTCTGTTCTACTAGCCTGCTGATCCTGTATTGTTTAACTCTTTGTTCTGTTCTACTAGTGCCTGCTAATCCTATATTGTTTAACTGTTTGCACGATCAACAGGTGCAAGAGAACAGAACAAACAGTTAAACAATACACGATAAACAGGCACTAGTAGAACAGAACAAACAGTTAAACAATACAGGATAAACAGGCACTAGTAGAACAGAACAAACAGTTAAACAATACACGATCAACAGGTGCAAGAGAACAGAACAAACAGTTAAACAATACATGATAAACAGGCACTAGTAGAACAGAATAAACTGTTAAATAATGCACGTTCTGCAAACACGAAACCTAGTATTGAAATTATCTAAAAATCTAAAGCAGTACATGAATTTGAATGAGTTTATTGTTTATGACGTAAATGAACATAACTTACGTGCCCTACTTTACTAGACGCTTCCTTCCTTTATTTAAAATTTAAAACTGACCATGAAACTTATCCAAGCTTGTGAAGAGTCTTACATTTGCGTAAGTTTCGAAATAGTCTTAAGCTGATCAACTTTGTGCAATACTTTTTTCGGTGTCTGTTAAAATTCAAGGAAACTATTTTTAAGTGCTCGCGTATGTTTTAGGTGTCTTAATTTTTGTCTTTTTATCGTGAGTTTTCTTGTCATCAAATATTAATATGATTCTTCAACATCAGAAATGTTTCTTTAGTTAAAGAAATTTACCCTGAAATGCATGTATATATAACTGCAAACGGTTTTTAAGTCCTTTTCCGGGCGTTTGGTGAACAGTAGGCTTGTCTGTAGCCTTACCTTTTTTGTTATTCAGTACATTAATTTGAACGGCAAATACCTGTGTTTTAAAGTCATAAAACTAACACACTAAGCTAAAGTTATTTACTTTGTAATTTGAATTAATCACATTTGTCTCCAATGGCTTCAGAACATTAAGATATAAAAAGCTACTGCTAAATCTCTCTCTGTTTTTTGTTGTTCTTGTGTTTCCAGCCATTGTTGGCTTTACTTGTCCTGTCCCCACCTACGAAGAAATCCAAAACTATGGAAACCAAAAGTATCCCGACCCACACGATTGCAGAAGATACTATGTCTGTGTCTCGACCTACGATGACCCCACGGGAGTGAAGAGATTACCTCGTTTGCAAACGTGTGAACACGGTCAAGTGTTTAATCAAGCGACCTTGAATTGTGACTATTCTGTCAATGTACCTGGCTGGTGAGTTTAGTTTTTGTTGTTGAACATTAGCACGTCCCCTTTACAAATTTAACGGTATTGGGAAGTAGTTAGCACAAAAGTTAATTTGGCTGAAAAACTGATTATCTGTACATTTCAACTGAAGACTAGATTAATTTGTTGATTTTTTCAGAACATTCTCTTTGAACAAACAAAACTTCAAATGAAGATTACACTTGATTGACATGATAAATGACACACAACGTTAAAATGAGTATAAAATTAAAAACTAGTTTATTCTGTCTTGATACAGTTTTATAATATACAGAATTTCACAAGTCACTTTACACTTAACCTTTATAACCCACGCTATAAATCACAATGATTCACACATTTTACTTACGGTGCCTACTGTTTGCTTGACTCAATTATTTCTCTCTCTATATATGTATCTGCCCCCCCCCCCCCAGTGGCACAGCGGTATGTCTGCGGACTTACAACGCTAGAAACCGGGTTTCGATACCCGTGGTGGGCAGAGCACAGATAGCCCATTGTGTAGCTTTGTGCCTAAGTTCAAACAAACAAACAAACTATATGTGTCTACTTATGCATTTCTCTCATCGCTTTATTTGCAGGGCTTATATACTAAAAAAAGATTTCGCCTGGAACAGACTAGAGTCGCCAGGAAAATTCATGATACTTAGATAATCTCATCACGTGTTCCCAGCGTCACGTGACTTCCGCTGTCGTAACACTGCCCCTTCCTCAGTATTGTTCGTCCCGAACAATAGCCACTTACATTAAACCAATATATAATTAACAATAATTTGATTAAATGTACAGAATTTACAAACACAAAATTAAAATACAAAAGTCTCTTAATTTTACATGACGTATCTTCTTCCGTACTGGTCTCTGTCTCACTGGCTTGTGCTTCATGTGGGTTCATCTGCTCTATCAGGAAATGTTCCACTATCGGTAACATTCATATCAGTGGTAGTAACTTCATTAACGGCTTCACTGTTTCCCCTTCTCTACACCGGGTTGAGTTTCTTCTTCGACAGTGGCTTTTTCAGGTGACACGTTTTCAGCAGCATCATTTGTTCCATTGTTCCAACTGAAATGTCTTGGACCGTGATAACGCTAAAGCCTGTTGGCATGCACCACCTTTGGCTTGCCTCGCCGACCACATTTTATTCGGAAAGTCAAGTCTGAGAGACGATCCACTTTGTCAAAGGGCCTTCCATGGAGATGACAACTTAGGAGACTTCCCTTTGGTCTTCCTGGGATTATACAACCACATCTTGTCTCCTGGTACAAAGCTGACTTCAGTAGATCTCTTATCATAACATAGCTTCACGTAATCAGCAGACGTTTTCAAGTCTGAAGGCACTTGATGGTCAATATCATCCATCCTTTCAGATAACACTTTCACGAACTCTGGCACATTTTCAGGCAAGTCTTCGTAAGGTGGGCGTTCTGTTATCCGGTGCACTGGCAACCGAAGTTCCCGACCAAACATCAGCTTTGCTGGAGTGTATCCAGTGGCTTCGTGCTCTGCTGTTCTATATGTCATCAACAGTGGAGGGAGTAAGACATCCCAGCCATCTTGGCGGCTATTACAAAACTTTGCCAATTCCCGTCCCAGTGTCCAGTTGTATTTTTTACCATCACATCAGACTGTGGGTGAAGTGGCGTTGTCCTGGTTTTTCGTATGTCAAACAACTTGCAGCATTCATGGAACACAGCTGATTCAATGTTACGGCCTTGATCTGAGTGCAGTTCGTATGGCATACCAAATCTGAAGAAGAAATTACTAACAGCCGAAGCTACAGTTGTACAGTCACTTTAAACTTAACAACTTTTATAACACACGCTATAAATCACAGCGATTCACACACTTTACTTACAGTGCCTACTGTTTGCTTGACTCAATTATCTCTCTATATATGTATCTACTTATGTATTTCTCTCCTCGATTTATTTGCAGGGCTTATATACTAAAAAAAGAGGGCGCCTGGAACAGACTAGACCTGCCAAGAAAATTCATGATGTTTCGATAATCTCATCACGTGTTACCAGGGTCACGTGACTTCCGCTGTCGTAACAACACTATCTTTGTACACATAAGATTTTAAACCACACTTCAAACTGAAAACTTGACTAACTATGGTTGTTTCAGAGTGCTATTTTTGTACACAGCCGATTCTAAACCAAATTTCCAACTGAGGGTTGATTGTTTCTTAGATGAGTTTGTTTAATGACTAGTGTGAGATCATTCAGTTCCGTATACAGTAACGTAACTAATAGATGAGTTTATTTAATGACTAGTGTGAGTTCATTTAGTTCCGTATACAGTAAAGTAACTGATAGATGAGTTTATTTAATGACTAGGTGAGTTCAGTTAGTTCCGTATACAGTAACGTAACTGCTAGATGAGTTTATTTAATGACTAGTGTGAGTTCATTCAGTTCCGTATACAGTAACGTAACTGCTAGATGAGTTTATTTAATGACTAGTGTGAGTTCAGTTAGTTCCGTATACAGTAACATAACTACCTAGTAGTTACTGTATACGGAACTGAATGAACTCACACTAGTCATTAAACAAACTCATCTAGCAGTTACGTTTCTGTATACGGAACTGAATGAACTCACACTAGTCATTAAACAAACTCATCTAGCAGTTACGTTTCTGTATACGGAACTGAATGAACTCACACTAGTCATTAAACAAACTCATCTAGCTAGTCATTAAATAAACTCATCTAGTAGTTACGTTACTGTATACGGAACCGAATGAACTCACACTAGTCATTAAACAAACTCACCTAGTAGTTACTGTATACGGAACTGAATGAACTCACACTAGTCATTAAATAAACTCATCTAGCAGTTACATTACTGTATACGGAACTGAATGAACTCACACTAGTCATTAAACAAACTCACCTAGTAGTTACTGTATACGGAACCGAATGAACTCACACTAGTCATTAAATAAACTCATGTGAGTTCATTTAGTTCCGTATACAGTAACGTAACTACTAGATGAGTTTGTCTAATGACTAGTGTGAGGTCATTCGGTTTCGTATACAGTAATGTAACTACTAGGTGAATTTGTTTAATGACTAGTGTGAGTTCATTCGGTTCCGTGTACAGTAACGTAACTACTAGGTGAGTTTATTTAATGACTAGTGTGAGTTCATTCATTATGAAAACAATCCACCTTAGCAGTCGTATTGATTTAAAGTTAACTCATTATTTAGAGTTACTTGATGAATTAAACGTTCTCTCACAAATATTATAAGATTTTAGATAAAACAATGTATAACGTGGTTTCAATTCAATTAATATTTATTCAAATGCTAAATATTACAATAACAACAACAATTAATGAAGCACATGAAATGAGATATGTAGAAAGTAGATGCATAAAAGTATGATAAAGATAAGTAAAATAGAAAGTATGTCTATTATCGAGTGTGAAGAATTTTGGCAGGATTGACGGCCATTTTTACCATTTGCCTACTACGATGAGGGTTGGTTACTTCTTGTTTTCAAGTATTAGAAACCTTTATTAGAGCTTCTGCTATTAACCAGAATGTTGTTGATAGAGGTTAGCACACGGCAACTGATTTTACTTTTTATCCGCGATCCTTGAGACAGACCAAATATTCCAGTCTGAATACCACCTTCATAATGTATTATCTGATAGTCAACGCAACTAAGACACTGGTGTCTATTTTTTCATCGTGAATGGACTTTATTGTAGGTATATTCTGAATCTAAAACTACAGCCAATATGTTCTGACCAGCTTAAAAGCTTTCTCATACTTCCCGTATATCTGCTATGACTTCTGCAGCATTGATCAAGGTTTCACTTCTCCCTGTGATAACCACTTAATTATGAGGGTAATTGTGGTTCAGTCCGATAGACAACTCTTCTGACTATAACTTCCTCTGGAATCTCGTCAATGGTGTTTGGTAGAACAGTGAATTAATAGCCTTTAAGATGAAAAAGATCCTTCGTGGGTTTGGTTAAGGATTTGATCATTCCGTATATCAGAGATGAAACCTGTTTCCCAGTTGCATTGATACCCCGACAGTAACTTCAACATGTTGAATTCTGTAAGTTCTTAAAGATGGAGATTCTTACCATCTGAACTTTCAGATGTATTTATGGCCATCTCAATAACGCTAAAACTGTCTCTCTTGCATGTCATCATCGTCACACTGGTGTTAATGTGTCTGTGCATGAAGGCATTGTGTTGATCTTCATCTGTATCGCGTCATCATTGTAAATGAGTGATATCTCCAAGTTGTTGATTTCTGTCTCAGCTATAAGTTGTGGAAGTGCCAGAATGAAACGCTATAACCCTTGCTATACAGTTAATTCCATTCCACGTGTTATGCTCTGGAAGCCGATCATATATACAGAGCATGGCTTCATTACGTGCAATCCTTGTATTTTCCACTTCTGCTGGATCACGTCTTATGAACATGAACTCAGCCTGGACTTGAATGTGTATTTGTTAGACTGTATTAGTATAATTTTTCCATCAATATGGGATGCTACTATTGCACAAGTTGTTACATTGACTTTGATAAAAGATGGATCTGGGTTTGAGGGTGTGAGTGAAATCATGATATCTATTAGTAAATGATTTTATACCACTATGTATGCTATTTTTCATGCACATCTCAACATGAGGTGATCAATGCATCTCCCTTATGCCAGGTAGAGATGACATTCAAGATGGAGTTTCCAACAACAAGGTTTATACAGGAATCTCTGTCAGTGATTCTTGTTATTTCACCTAACTACAAGGTTGGTGGCTATACTGTAGATAGAAGGATGTAAGCCTTTGCTATTAGTTTTTCTACCCATGTCCATGTAAGGGTGTCTGGCATTTGAACCACTAGCTACATATTGAAGATATTGATTATTTCTTCTGTAAGTTTGATTAGATGACCATTCTCACGCCAATCTGAATTTAAGGTTTCTGCTCTATCACGTACATACATTCAGGTCACTATCTATGTTATCATGTCCATACATTCGGGTCCTTATCCATGTTATCAAGAACATACATTCACGTCACTATCTATGTTATCCATACATTCAGGTCACTATCCATGTTATCAAGAACATACATTCACGTTACTCTCCATGTTATCATGTACATACATTCTGGACACTCTCCATGCTCTCATGTGCATACATTCAGGTCCCTATTCTTGTTATCACATACATACATTCAGGTCACTATCCATGTTATCGTGTACATACATTCACGTTACTCTCCATGTTATCGTGTACATACATTCATGTTACTCTCCAACTCTCTTTTATAGTTTTATACGCTTACGGTTTGAAAGAGTAAAAAATACTGGGTTTGTTGTATACGGTAATTTTTACGTATTCATATGTTGTTTTTGTTATAACCTTACTGCATGACACATAAAAGTCTTCTGTCCAGTGTGTCATGTTCTTTGTTTTCCTTTTGCTGTTATTTTAAGTTTTGATGTAGTCTTATGTCCACTGTGTCATGTTCCTTGTTCTCCTGTTGTTGTTATTCTAAGTTTTTGATGTAGTCTTCTGTCCAGTGTGTCATGTTCCTTGTTCTCTTGTTGTTATTATTTTAAGTTTTGATGTAGTCTTTCTCCACTGTGTCATGTTCCTTGTTCTCCTGTTGTTAGTATTTTAATTGTTTGATGTAGTCTTCTGTCCACTGTGTCATGTTCATTGTTCTTCTGTGGTTGTTATTTTAAGTGTTTGAAGTAGTCTTTCTCCAGTGTCTCATGTTCTTTGTTCTCCTGTTGTTGTTGTTTTAAGTGTTTGATGTAGTCTTCTGTCCAGTGTCTCATGTTCTTTGTTCTCCTTTTGTTGTTATTCTAAGTTTTTGATGTAGTTTTCTGTCCAGTGTGTCGTGTTCTTTGTTCTCTTTTTGTTGTTATTCTAAGTGTTTGATGTAGTCTTCTGTCCACTGTGTCATGTTCCTTGTTCTCCTGTTGTTGTTATTTTAATTGTTTGATGTAGTCTTCTGTCCACTGTGTCATTTTCATTGTTCTTCTGTGGTTGTTATTTTAAGTGTTTGAAGTAGTCTTTCTCCACTGTGTCATGTTCCTTGTTCTCCTGTTGTTATTATTTTAAGTGTTTGATGTATCCTTCTGTCCAGCGTGTCATGTTCATTGTTCTCCTGTTGTTGTTATTTTAAGTGTTTGATGTATTATTCTGTCCAGCGTGTCATGTTCTTTGTTCTCCTGTTGTTATTATTCTAATTGTTTGATGTAGTATTCTGTCCACTGTGTCATGTTCCTTCTTCTTCTGTTGATATTTTAAGTATAACAGTTTATGATTGCTACTTTTTCTAAACTGACTATGTATGTAGTAGCTCCTATCATATTTCAGTGACAACAAGTTCTCACAATACATCCACTTATTGTATGATGTATTAATTATATTTCTATAGGGACAGCTACTATGGTCCAGCTGTAATAACATGTTATCACAATGCGTCCGCTTATTGTGTGACTTGTTACTTTTATTTTCGTAGTGACAGCTACTATTCCACCTATAATAACATGTTATCACATGAGTTATCACAGTGTACGCATTTATTATGTGACCTATTACTTTTATTTCTATAGGGGCAGCTACTATGGTCCAGCTGTAATAACATGTTATCACAATGCGTCCGCTTATTGTGTGACTTGTTACTTTTATTTTCGTAGTGACAGCTACTATGGTCCACCTATAATAACATGTTATCACATGAGTTATCACACTGTACGCATTTATTATTTGACCTATTACTTTTATTTCCATAGTGAAAGCTACTATGGTCCAGCTGCAAAATATGCTGTTCCAGTGCAATCACCGCTACTTGCTCAGTATGTTGTGCCGAAGACTCCCATAGCTGGACAATATGATGTCACTGTTAAGGCCCCTGTAGCTGGACTGTATGATGCTTCTGTGAAGACTCCCATAGCTGGGCAGTATGATGCCTCTGTGAAGACACCCATATCTGGACAGTACGATGTCCCTGTAGCTGGACAGTATGATGCCTCTGTGAAGACACCCATTGCTGGACAGTACGATGTTCCTGTAGCTGGACAGTATGAAGCCTCTTTGAAGCCACAATTTTATAAATAATCTGTAGCCGAAATTAAAAATTTAAACTCAGGGTTTTCATTAAAGACCTCCAGAATAGGAATATTCCACGGCCTTTAACTTGGAAAATTACTATTGGGACAAGTTATTGTTTTGGTACTTTTTTTTAGTGTAATCTTTGAATATTATCTGGACTTCCCAGGAGTAATTTATTTTACAATATATATATATAATAACATGCAATGAGATGGTGATTATGAATATATATTTACAAACGAAATTAAATTAGCATTAAAGTCTTACAAAGTGTCAGTCCTAGCTCTTATGTTTACAGGTATCACAATATACGTAAAAAAATCTGTGCACTCTTTGCACAATTCTAAAAATATCTCGTATCGAGAGAGAGACTAGTGCTCGATAACGTGATGTTGGGTTAACTCATAATTTTTAGAAAGTAGTGAACTTTTGCAGACAGAAATTTTCTTTGCTAAATAACATATTTTGAGTACATTTACAATTTAAAATATTAATTAGAACTATATTCAGTCAGCAGATGAAGATAGTAGTAAAGAGATTTTCAACATTACAGAGGAGGATCTTGTACTTACATATACTAGATAAATAGAGTAGTACCGGTAGTTATCCAAAATATATTGGATATTTGAATGATTTTAAATTGCAGAATATTGATAACGTAGTACTACCTGATGGCACAACTGCTTCACGTTATTCTTATTTGCAGAGAATACTGTTATTACTTTCTGTGTCTTTATGGGTCTCAGTGGGATAGAATTTCTCTGTTTTTAACCAACTTTACCTGAAGCTCAAGAATGAAGCGTTACGACTTTAATCAGAAATATTATATCGCTAAAAAAAAAGAGGAAATTTCTCTTCTTCAGAATAAAAACAAAGGTAAATATAGACAAAACTTAGAAAGAAGAAGGCATAATAACCTTCTGGATTCGTGAATTTTCAATGAAAATTAATTTTTTTTGAAGACCTTGTATTAACTATTTTTCCTTGAGTAATATAGTAAAATCAAAGATAACTGGAAATTTCACGTCAAATAAAGGCGTAAGTATTGGAAGTTTTCACGAAAAGAGTTCCATTTTATAAGGAATACACCAAATGCATAATTTTTTAGTCCAATGATATGAAATTAAAATGTTTCTATAATTTGTTTTTATAATAACAGTTTCATATATAACCTTGTACCAATAAGGCCAAATCGAAGAGGGGCAAAGTTTTCATCAAATAATTACAGTATAAAAATGACGAAAACAAACGATTTATTAAATGCGGACCTCAGTATTTATTTTGATTCATAAATTATTAACCGTAGCGACATTTGAAGAAAAAATTATATTTCTAAAAAGCATACTTTTTTGAGGAACACATCAAGTGCATTTTTTTAGTCCAATGATTCGAAACTAAATTTTTTAGGAATTTGTTTTTACAATAACAGTTTGATATATAACCTTGTACCAATAAAGCCAAATCACGTATAAAAACAAGAGTAAAGCGAGATCGAAGATGGCCAAATTAAGTGTTTGTTTCCGAATTAGTGAAATTTTCTTATTTTGAGCTTTCTCTGTGATATAATATTTTCCATTAAAGTCATAAAGCTTCATTATTCAGTTTTTATAAGAAATAAAGAGAATTCGAGATTTGACTCTTAATATAATTTCAGAAAACGCATATTTCTGACGTGTTTAAAAAAATTTCGTCAAAATTACAAGCCAAAAAACTCACGAATTTTTAAAAAATGTTGAAAGAATTATACATTCATATTATTGGACTAGAAAGATGCACTTAATCTGTACTTTCCAAAATCGAACTCTTTTCACGAAAACTCCTAATATCTAATCATTGATTTGTTGTGAAAAATCGGGCTATTGTAGATTTCACTATAGTTCTCAAGAAAACATACTTAGTAGAAACACTTTAAAAGGAAGAATGTTCGTTCAAAATTCCTAAATATTGACCAGGTGGTTAGGGTGCTCGACTCGCAATCTGCGGGTCATGGGTTCGAATCCCCATCACACCAAACATACTCGCCCTTTCACCGTGAAGGCGTTATAAGTGACGGTCAATCCCACTATTTTTCGTTGGTGAAAGAGTAGCCCAAGAGCTGGCGGTGGGTGATGGTGACTAGCTGCATTCCCTCTAGTCTTACACTGCTAAATTAGGGACGGCTTTGCGAGAAATCCATAACAAACAAACTAAATATTGAAGTTAAGTGCGGCTTCTATTCTAAAGTTAGCACATCTAGAAATCAGTTTGTAGCCCGATTGAGTAAAATTTTATTATTTTAAGCTTTCTCCGCGATATAATATTTTTCATTAAAGTCTTTAGGCTTAATTTTTCAAATAAAATCCCATCATCTAAAACGCCATGACGTCGTCTTATAAAATAAACTCCATCTTTTGTATTGTTTTTACACTGGGTTAGCGAAAATTCAATTTTTTAAGCTTCAGACAGGACATAATATTTTTCGTTAATGCTATAATGTCTCAATTTTGAGTTTTACGACAAAATAAGAACTACCCGATAAATTTCTATTAATTCATATTTTCATCAAAAAGACAAGGCTATAGCCAATGATTTTCCCCAAATTTAAAAAAAAATTATTTTCCTCATATTTAAATACAAAGATGCCCTCGATGTAATACTTTCAAAACGGATATCCTTTCATCAAAATTTCCAATAGTTATTTTATAATATGTTATCAAAATTTCGGCTAGCTTCGATTTTACAATTTTTATTTCTTCAGTTATATTGTAAACAAAGAATAGCTTTAAGAATAAGATTATTCAAACAAAATCCGAACATCTAAAACTCCGTGAAGTCATCTTAGCAAATCCCAACATCTAAAAGACCATGACGTCTTTTTCAAGAATAAACTCCACCTTTCGGATCGTTTTTACTGTGGGTTAGCGAAAATTCAATTATTTTAGCTTTAGACGGGACATAATCATTTTCGTTATTGCTATAATGTCACAATTTTGAGTTTTACGACGATATAAGAACTACCCGATATATTTCTATTAATTCATATTTTCACCAAAAAGACAAGGCTATAGCCAATGATTTTCCCCAAATTTGAAAAAAAAAAGATTTTCCTCATATTTAAATACAAAGATGCCCTCGATGTAATACTTTCAAAACGGATATCCTTTCATCAAAATTCCCTATAGTTCTTTTATAATCTGTTAACAAAATTTCGGCTAGCTTCGATTTTACTGTTTTTTATTTCTTCAGTTATATTGTAAACAAAGAAAAGCTTTAAGAACAAGATTAGTGAAACAAAATCTGAACATCTAAAAGACCATGACGTCCTCTTCAAGAATAATCTGCAAATTTCAGATTGTTTTTACTTTTGGTTAGCGAAAATTCAATTTTTTTTTAGCTTTAGATGGGACATAATATATCTCGTTAATGCTATATGTCACAATTTTGAGTTTTACGACGAAATAACACTATCCGATATTTTTCTATTAATTCTGCGTCAAAAAAGCACATTTTTCTTTTTCACAAAAAAAATTAATATTTTCACCGAAAAGCCAAGGCTATATTATAGCCCATGATTTTCCCCAAATCTTGAAAAAAAAAAATTGTCTACATATTTCAACACAAAGATGCCCTTGAAGTAAGAGTTTCAAAATGGATATCCTTTCATCAAAATTCCCAATAGATATTTCATAATCTGTTATCAAAATTTCGGCTAGCTTCGATTTTACTGTTTTTTTAGTCTTAAGTTATACTGTAAACAAAAATTTCTTTAGAAATAAGATTACTCAAACAAAATTCCAACATCAAAAAGGCTATGACTTCTTCTTATAAAATAAACTTCACCTTTTCGATTTCTCTTACTCCGTGTTAGCAAAATTTCAGTTTTTTAGCTTTTTACGGGACATAATATTTTTCGTTAAT